AACGGAAAAAGTGCTCTTCTACATCATAAGTAATGGTTATTAAGTATCGGTTCCACTCTCTGCATGCATAACTCGCCCCACGGAACCTTTAGGCTGACTGCCCTTAAGATAACACCAACGTCCAAAGCATATCTCATACGGTGAGTGTTAAGGACTCGTGCAGAGTGAATGCTGCTAGCATTGCCATCAAAGTCTAGATAGATCAGAATTCCCGTTTCTGCCTAAGTGGCAGTCATCAGCCGGTCACATCCAACTCCAAGTCGTGCCCCACCCGAGGCTCGAACCTGCCAACTTTTGAACACTATCTGCGAATGACTATGACTATGCTTTGATCATAAGTCTAACGTTCTAGACATGCAGCCACGGGCTCGTTGCCTTGCTGTTTTTTAAATTGAGAGCTATTGATAGTCGTTGACTAACGTTCACCGATCGCCAACGTAATTTATTTTTCTGAGTCTACGTATGACACAGACTACCCTGCAATTACCTATGATTAAGGATTCCCGACAGAATCCGAAACGTCAGGAAAATAAAACTTTGTTCCAGTGGTTGCAACCCCTCTTCTTCTGAACTGCTTTCTGAAACTCGCATATTCTCCACTATTGGCAGTTTTTATAGTTCACAAGCATGGCCTCCAGTCTGCTCATAAGGGCAATGACCTCCGCACCCAGTATTCGGTGCTGAGACTTATTTTGGGAGAATTAATAAGCCATTCAGGTAGCACGCAGGTGAGCATTACTTCCAACTCCAGTGGCTATTATCCAGATGACCGAGCTGCCATGACGTCAACGAGTGAGAAAATTGTAGCGATTAATGACTCATATGCTGGTTTCGGCCTCACGTTTGGGATTCTCACCGAATCTTTCATCAGAGACAACCATAGATAAGAGTTGTGCAGGCACACCAAGCGTAGTGGCCACGCGACCACCTGTGCACCACAGTGGGCAACGCTGGTGATCACTGCAGGGGGTCGTAATTGAAGCTATGATGGCTTGAGAGTCCGCATCCGATTCGCTTATCTTCACAATTAGAGCATCCATTTTAGGTGTCGACAGGAAGCTAAAGCGTCGGGCCAAAACACGTCTTTATCCAACGATCATGTCTTCACCTTTTGTACTACTGCATGGAACCGGCCTGTTCGCTTTTATCATCAGAAAACTAACGCCAATTATTCGCGCTGATATGGAGAGCCATTATTATAAAAAAATAAGTGCTAGTATAGCGACTACATAGCGACTAGACGGGAGATTCCTGTGTATAAATTACCCGTATTTAAATCTGAACCATGCATCCGAACCATCAGGCGAATAAAAGTCTTTTTTTCGCCATGGCGTCCACTTTTTCCGAACTTCGCTGTGGTTCACATACACACCGGGCGTATCGCAAGGGGTCGCGTTAATAGGCCAACCTCTTGTCAGTACGATTTTCAGCCCCATTCCTTGTGGCAAGAGAAAAATGAGACGCCAGGTGGAGAAAATAGTTTATTTTGTACATAAAAATGTGAAAATAAGTGGCAGAAAGTTTTTTGTCGGAAGAGCGCGCAACCGCAGTCCGGAAGCGCCGAAGCGCAGAAATCGTCATAGGCGTCTATAGCGGTCTTTGTGTGGGTCAGCCTTGAAAGGTGATCGAGCAGACTCTTGCAAGCTGGTACACGCAGCCGCAGGTGGTTAAATTTTGGCACGGTTTGCGGGGACTATGATTGGCTGTCCCAAAGTCCGACATCAGTGCATTTGTACTCGTTAGCAGCAGTGAGCTTCCGCGCGGATTGAATCATTAAGACTACTTTTGCATGGTTATTACATGTAGGCAAATATACTCCTATGTCTGAAAACGGTCCTTATACCGACTACATTTTATGTGTGTTTTCAGTGGGAAATTTCTCAATCAACGGGAAAGAAGGAACCTACGATTTCCTTTACATTCCTGACAGGCTTCTAAGAGGGAAAGTGAGTCATCCTCGTTTTTAACATAGCACTGTCGCATATAGTTTTTCACCTCAAGCAAATGTTTCCGCCTCTATAAACTTTGCCTTTCACAAATCTACTTCAGCCTTTGGAGAATATATGGTTCATAATGTTAAATTTCGCGGACTCAGCGGCTCTTGTGGAAGTTAATTTAGGTTGCACATAATTACAAAAATTCAAATCAGAACCCGGAGGACAAAGCAGAAGGCACGCAGTAATCAAGAGGACCCATTTATAATCGAAATCAACTTATTTTGCGGAAGATGCACGAACCCAAATTCTAGCAAAGATAAGAGAGAGAAATGCACTTTATTTTGAAGGAAAGAGCAAAAATGGCATCGGTCACTGACAGCAAGGGGTAAATTAAGACAATACTCAAAAGTGCTAGGGAAGTTTGGCAGATTTTCTTAATTAAATTGACCCAATTGTGAAAGAACTCGCGCCGTCAGCGGAAGACGAACCCGCACAACAGGGAAGGCATTTGCGCAGTCAACGCTCTACCGATTGACCTGCGACGTACAAAGCTAAAGGTTTACATAAAATCTACGTCGACTAGGGAAGCAGGCCTCATCTCAGCTCTCACATTTCAGTATCTTTACGCAGCGTGCTGGTAATGGGAGTATAAAGTGCTGATGTGTTCGTGTAAGGCAGAACATACATATGTCGAAAGCTTCGGTATGTAGTACGGAAAGATTTTGCAGTCGTTTATTCAGAGTGGAGACGATGAGCAACCTCACCAAGAATGTGAATAGCAAATTGCTTGACCTTTTCAAAGTGTCGCTGTATTAAAATATCAGGTAAAAGGGTAAAAGAAACGTCGGCAGTTGATGAGAAAATTTGGAAGATATATTTAAAATCAGCAATTCTATTTATACAAGACTAGAAAAATAACCAGAAAGCAGTAGAGCCTGAGTGGGAGAATTCGGAAATCTATAAAACGTCAGCTTAATGTTTGAAGTGTGTGTATGAGCGCAACCTATGGATATCATACAGGAGTTGACGACTTTTAATGAAAACAAGGCAAAAGCAGCTTATGTAGACCCACTCATATACCCCAGTCCCAGAATTTTGTCCTGCAAAAACGGTGGTTATAGAGTTTTGAGGGATAGGGAAAAAGGATAGGCAGAGAAAGAAATTTTTAGAAGCAAGTTTAAAGTGGAAAAATGCAGTTGAAATTGCTTCCCGCGGCCGCTGGGAGTAAGTTGTTCCGCATGAAAATTAAATGTGTGCGAGGTGCTTTGCTCCGCGGACTATACTAATCTAACTCCAGAACGGTAACTTGGACCTCAGGTAAGTTGACGTAGACGACCTTCTAACCACCATTTCAATTTTTCGGGAAATTCAAGAAACCT